CTGGGGGAAGGGAGGGAGGTATAAGCCCCCTGCTCTTAAAAAGCTTGTAGGGTGCCAGGGGGGAGAGACAACTGCACACGCATCTCTCAGTGCCAGCCGCGCCCTGAGAATTAGGATGGAGGGCAGAGAGTTCCTTCAGGAATCCGGGCGTAAGCAGAGGCAGGAAGTGAGAGGAGACGTGTAGGACAAGGGTCCGCTGGGCAGAGAGAGAAGAAGCCCAAGATGGGTGGGCTCAGACATAAACCTGGAAAGGCAGGTTGTGGAGCCCCTGGGTNGTTCTGGCTCTGGGCAAACACAGGAGCCCAGGAGCTAGAGCGCTTGCTTAATCATCCTTCCCATAGTTGGAAGTCGCTGGAGCACACTCTCGTGCCACCACGTGCTTTGTGCCCTAGGTCACTCTATTCATCTTACAAGTTGTGCTGGGTTCTGTCATGCAAAACATTTAAAACATTTAAAAATTCCATCTCTTGCAATTAGGGCCCTAGACAAAGATGAGATGGTGTTTTAGTCCTACAAAGTCCCAAATTCTATATTCCCATTTATTTCTACTTGCAAAGCACTCAATTCTTTCTTGAACTCACTTCTTTTTCTTACCACCTTGCCGAACACAGCCACTGCAACCCACACACATTACTAACGTCCTATTTTTCAACCTCTCCCCTTAGAAGGACAAGTTAGGAAAGCATAGCATCTGCCTTTTAAGTGACAGTGTCTGACATCTTTACTGGGTGTTTTCCTCCGGCGTAACATGGATCCCCAGCTGCTTGGCATGCTCAACATCCCTGACCACCCACCTGCCGGGGCAACGACATGTAGTTTATATTTCTGTTTTAGCAGCACCCTACTTTTGGGATAGATTTCCATTTCAGTCGTGGTAGTCAATGAAATCTATTGCAGTAGGAAAACCGAGAAGTCTCAGTGGCTGAATGTAGCACAGGTTTGCTTCTTGCTCATGTTACAGTGTGACGTGGGCCATGAAGACTTGGCCGCAGGCTGCTCCATCCCGCACCTCCACTAGATCTGGTTCCTTGTTTCCAGCCAGTGGACAGGAGGGAGAGAGAGCACAGAGGGCTCACCAGTTCCCAGTGGCCTCGGCCTGGGAGTGACACAAGTCACTTCCTTCAGAGAGTCACTGTCACTGGATGTTCTCTCTGCTGAAGGTCTCAGGAGAGCTCGGCCTCAGGCACCTGCCCTTGCAGGCTAGCCTGGCTGTCGTGCTGCTCCCTAGCGGGGGACGGAGGCAGAGGTGGTCATGGGCCTGCTCGCAGGCCGGTATCTTGCGGAATCCTCTTTGTAGATGACAGCGTTGTGTTGAGTGGTGCGATGGCTCTGTACCGTTGGCCTGCTTAGGTCATTCCTGACTAATTGGAAATCAAACCTGTTTCTTCTTCTTCCTTTGTTCCTCTGTCCCTTGTGAGGCAGCAAGTGACAAGCACATCCAGTGGCTCCTGGGGGCAGATGGCGAGGTCTGGGTCTGGATCATGGGAGAAGGCCCTGGCGACAAGCCCTATGAAGAGATCTCTGAGGAGCTGATTGCAGAGAGGGCGCGGCTGCAGGCACGGAGGGAGGCCGAGGAGCTCTGGTGAGGGGTGCAAGGGGGTGTTGCACGGGGCCTGAGCAGGAGCCTTGGGTGGGCACAAGCTAAGGGCAATTGGTTGTGGGTGGGAGGAAGGAGGTGCCAGTCAAGCTGGCTGGCTGTTTTGAGCTCTGCTGAGATCTGGTGATCAAAGCATCAGGTAAATCTGTGGGTTCAAATCTGGCTCCACCGATTAGTAGTTAACTGATCTGGGGCCTCAGTTTCCACATCTGTGCTGTGGGCATAACAACACCCGTTCCGTATGGTGTGGTCTGGGATCACCGAGACAGCACACATGCTTTCGCTTTCTCCCCCACTGGGTTGTCACCGGGACAGTACAGCACTTTAGCTTCACTTTTCTTATCTGCTTGTTCCTCTTCGTGGTACCTGTGGTTCTCACACGAGATGCGCAGTTGAGCCCTCAGTGAGGTTGGGAGTCAGACGTCTTGCTTTTAACATTTTTTTCACCTAACTTGAAATCCATGTGAAGTTGACTGTAACATTCCCCCCCTCATGACTTTTAGTGACAGTGTTTTAATTGTAAAATTGTAAAAACATGTATACGACACTAAAAACTGTGAAGAATAAATTAAAGAATAACCCACAGCCACCACCTGAGATAACCATGGTGAGCATTTAGGTGATACGTGCTTTGTAAACGTAGATAAACTGATTAATGGAGAACCACAATGCTATTTAAGGTTACTATACAGGGTTCTAGTACATGAGAAACCCGACTCATTGGTCTATTGATGGGCATTTGGGTTGTTTACCATCCTTTATGTTAAAAAGATCCTTTGATGGATATCTTTTACATACACCTTTGTGCACTTGGGTGGGAAATGGGGTTCCTTTTCTCCTGGCTGTCAGAATGATTCTGCCAAGGTGCCTCTCGTACGTGGGAGTGCCCGTTTCTCCCCATTCTGCCAACACTGAGTTTTTGACCTTTGATATTTGCCGTTCTGATAGACCAAGGCAAGACGGCTCTCTGTTTGTATCTGAAGTTTGGTGGCCCTTCGGTTTTTCACGCAAGCTCACACCTGCTGGTGCTCTTCCCAAAGGCGACAGAAGGAGGCAGAGATCAGCAAGCGGTTTCGGGACGCGCTGGCCCACGAGAAGGCCCGGATCCTGGCCGAGAAGTGGAAGGGGGAGATGGAAGACCGCAAGGCCGCCCAAGCCCTGGAGGAGCGCGTCCGGGAGGAGTTCAAGGTGGGCCGTGCGGCCCCCGTCGCTAGCCCCCGAGGCCGACGGGGCTGATCTCTGGTTTGGACCTGCGCTTGGCCATTGGCTGGTACTGGGTGCTTCATGAGAACAGGAGTCTGGCACGTGTGAGCAGGGAGGAACTTGACATACCATTTGGGCCGATCCACTTCTTGTTCCAATAAGGAAACTGAGGGTCAAGACAGGGGAAGAGACTTGCCAGGGCTACATGGAGTGGTGATTGAGGCAGAGTCAGGATCAGAACTCAGGCCTGCTGCACCCCAAACCATGGGTCCTGAAGTGCGGGCTGGAGAGCACGGGGTTTCTGGTCAAGCCAGACTGTGGCCCAGTCCCGACTCTGCTGTGGACTGCTGTGTGACCTGGGGGAGCTTGCTGAGCTTCTCTGAGCCTTCGCTGTTTTGTTTGTAGTATTGGGATAATAATAATCACACTGTTCCTTGAAATTTTTATGAGGATTCAAGGAGATGATGTGTTCACAGTTTCTGGCCAAAGACAAGAGTTGTTGGTAACCTTGAGTACTACCCGTTCTGGGAGAGCCGTCTCCATTTTATGTTTTTTTTTTTTTTCTTCAGCAGTAATACATTTTAAGCCCTCAGGGAGGGGGTGGGGAGAGAAGGAGGAGGGTAGAAAACAAAGAAAATACAAATAAGTGGAAGAAGAGAGAAAATAACAATCATGCAGAACCCTAACATCGTATTATTTTGTGAATTGTATTGTCAAAGATAGACACAGCTGGACATCTTAGTAGAGGCAGAGAAGCGAAGAGATACAGCAAAGTGCTGGCCGCTTTGAATGCATGAGACCGGGTGGCCTGGGCAGGCAGTTAGGGACGGTAGGGTCCCCGCCTCTCACAGAAGTGACACAGGGGCCTTCCCCTTCCTGATGATTGCATTTCAAGGGATGACTTACAAGTCCTTGAGAAAGACACTTCTGAGACGTAAGAGCCACGTGTGCACGGCTGTGAGCTCTGTTCAGTAGGTGCTGTCAGGAAGGGCGTCAGGTGGACAGGAGCAAACAGGCAGGCGTCTCGGTGGGGCCGTCACAGGGACACAGCCTCACGCTGCTAACGGCCACGCGAGGGTTTAGTCGAGTCTAGTGCAGGGCTGTGGACGGAGTCGTGTGTGTGAGGAGAGCTCTGCAGTTGTTAGCGTGTTCATGGCATTTGCCCATTTAAAAAGTTTTTAAACCTTTTTCCTCCCAATAAGCATAAGATACTGAGAACATCGGCCTCATTTATCTTGTAAACATTCTCTCGGGGGTGTTGGTTTTTCTTCATTTTGGTTATAGTGCTTTCAGATGTACAGAAGATGAAAATTTTTATTAGCTAGATCTAACCGTCTTTTTCTTTATTATTTGTTTCATGCTTAGAAAGATCTGTGCCACGGCAAGCTTATGAAACTATGAATCTACGTTGTTATGTATATATTTTCGTGAGTTTTCATCTTTGCCCTTAATTTTCCTTCATCTCGGAGTGTGGTATGATGTAAGGCTCTAACTTTGTTTTCTCCCAAATGGTTGGTTAGTTGTCCCAAGACCATGTATCATGTGATCTGTCCCCTCCCCCCCCTCACTGCACTTGGTGTCTTGATGGTGTTCTGACTTCTGGACCTCCCAATGCATTTTCTTCTTTGATTATTTCTGAGCCACAGTTAATTGTTTAATTATTGTAGCTTTAAAATAAATTTTAACATCCATTAAGATAAGAACCCTATCATTACTCTTTATTTCCAAAATGTCCTTGCCTAATCTTGCCCATTTTTTTCTGCCAGGGAAGCTGTTGAATTATTTTGTCACTCCTGTCCCCCACCAACAATAGAACACGAGGGTCTTCACTGGCATCGCATTAACATTGTAGCTCTATTTGTGGAGAGTGGA